TGTTTGATGTTATGGATAGAAGATTGCATTTCAAAGAATATTCCTTTGAATAGTAATGTGATAATGCAAAAGGCAACAAAGATTTACCAGCATTTAAAAGAGCTTGAATGCGTTTCTTTTAATGAATCACATCGATATGAATTTAAAGCCAGTAAAGGTTGGTTTAGCAGATTTAAGAATCGATTTTCCTTGCGCAATGTCAAAGATGGAGGAGAAAGAGCATCAGCCGACACAAAAGCAGCCGAGAGATTCCGAAAGAATTTTCTCAAAATTGTAGAAGATGGAAATTACACTGCAGATCAGGTATATAATGCCGACGAAACCTCGTTATATTGGAAGAAAATGCCCAGACGCACTTACATCTCGAAAAATATAAAGTCTGATTCAGGATTTAAGGTTTCCAAGGATAGGATCACTTTACTTTTATGTTCAAACGCATCTGGAGATAATGTTATAAAGCCCATGTTAATTAACCGTTCATTAAATCCACGAGCAATGAAAGGAGTTGACAAATCAACTCTTCCTGTTTTCTGGCGAGCAACTAAAAAGGCATGGGTAACAGGTGTTTTATTTCGTGATTGGTTTTACAATTGCTTTGTGCCGGAAGTGGAAGAGTACTCAAAAAGAAAAAATATCAGTTTCAAGGCTTTGTTACTGGTCGATAACGCGCCAGGACACACAGATTTAAAACATCCGGCTGTTAAATTAATATTTTTACCTCCCAATACGACATCAATCCTACAACCACAAAACCAGGGAATAATTAAATCATTTAAATCATTGTATATACGGCACACATTTGAACACATTTTTAAAAATATTGATTGTAATTCAAGCGCTACCACAGTAATGGACTTGTGGAAAGATTTTTCAATTTTAAATAGCATTGAAATTATTTCGATATCTCTGAAGAAACTAAAATGTTCGACTCTGAATGCCTGTTGGGAAAAATTATGGCCTGAAGTTGTTATTAGAGAAGACTGTTTAACTTTTGTGACAACAGAAGTAAATCGTATAATAGATATTGCCCACACTTTAGGTGGAGAGGGATTCGTGGACATGAACGAGGAAGATGTTATTGAATTAATTAATACTAACCAACAGTTAGATGAAGAAGAACTTATGCAACTGGCAGAGTTGTCCGAATCAAGCGGTGAAGAAGACTCATTACAAAATTTCTGTGAGGCAGAGCAACACTTTAATTTAGAAAAGTTAAATGAAGGATTAGAATTGGCAAAAAATCTAGAAGAACTTTTTACGAATAATGATCCATCAACAAAGCGCTCTGAGAAATTTAAGAGAAAATTGAAATATTGTTTAGCTCCATATTTTGACGTAAAAGAAGATTTAGAAAGTAACAATAATAAATTGTTGAAAACATAAGAAGATACCCTTTCAAATTATGAATATAATAGAGAAGAAAGAAGTGAATCTTTAAGCTATGAAATAGCACAACTAACATTTAAAAGAGGATGTCGTTGGATCCTAATTATGGATAGCTTCGACAGTGAATAAATGTAAAATAAAAAGTGTAACTACTGCTTTTATTTAATGCAAAATGAGTAAGAAAACATTTTTAATTTCAATATTTGTTTGTTTTGAAGAGAAATAAAATATATTTTAACTCTTACATATTAAATATTTATTTTACATCTTTGTTAAGTATCTGTATAAGTGTATGTTTATGCATAAGTAAACTGTATG